GATTTAGGGGCACCAGCAGAGTTGCTAAAGGGGGGAGCACAGGGCTAGTATAGCAGAGGGCTGGAGGTCATGACTGAGGGGCACTAGCAGAGCTGTGGGAGAAGAGCCCAGGGCAGGGATAGCAGGGGGCTGTGGGTGGGGATTGAACATCATCAATAGAGCTGTGGGCAGTTGGGGTATCTTAGCATTGGGATAGCAGTGGGCTCCAGTTCAGGAATGAGTAGATGTCTGCTGGCATTTTCCCTGTGGCTAATTTCATTTATCCCCATCGTGTTTGTTCTCCTGTTGATCCAAACAAGCTGCTGGCGCTTTCCTTGTTGACCGTGGAAAAGTCGGAATGAGCCAGAGTGGCATTTTAACCAATAAAATTGGTGCAAAACCCAGCACCTACTGATAGGGACACTCAAGAACAATAGTTTACTAAAGAGAACAGACGTATAACTTGCTGTCCTTGACCCGTTCTGGGACAGAACCATTTTAACACCAAAAAGACGCAGAGCACTTGGTTCTGAAGCCACTCAGAAGACCAGAATAACACACACAGCACAACTAACTGAGAACAATGCTACGCTACAGAAAACCTCTTCTAAACACCTTCACTTGCTGACGCCAGGCTATAATAGCTTTATTGATAATACCGACATGGATACTCGGTTCCAAAGAGCCTCTAGTGACTAAAAAGATAGACATAATACACCTTTCTGAGAACAACTCCGTACTACAAAAAACCTCTGCAGAACCCACCTTCAATAAAATGCTCCGCTCCGTAAATAGCCTTATTAATAAAACCACCCAGAATGCTCGGTTCTGAAGGCTTATTCACAACGCGGTTTAGAGCTGGAAATGGGCACTTCTGGGTGGGATTGGAAGAGATTTTCTGCAGGATAGTGTCATTCTTAGTGTGTTATGTGTATCATTTTTGCCCTCTGTACCACTTCAGAACAGTGCGCCCTTGGCGATTTTATCAATAAAGCTGTTTATTCACAGGGACAGGCAATTGACGGCATGTTCAGAAGCAGTTTTCTATGGCATAGAGTTATTCTCAGTTTGTTGTATTTTGTGTATCATTTTGGTCTGGTGTCTCTTTGGAACCGAGCGTTCTGTGCCATTCTATCAACAAAGGTGCTTATTGCCCAGAACGGGAACTTGAAGTTAGGGTTGGAAGAGATTTCCTGTGGCATAGTGTTATTCTAAGTTGGTTGTCTTATGTGGATCCTTTTGGTCCCTTGCACACCTTCAGAACTGATTTTTCTGGGTCCTTATTGGTGTTAAAAAGGGTTCTGATCCAGAATGGGTTAATCATAGACTTATAAAAATGTGGGGCTGGAAGGGACCTTGAGAAGTCATCGAGTGCAGGCCCCTGCACTGTGGCAGGACCAAGTGAACCTAGACCATTCCTGATAGGTGTTCGTCCAACTTATTTTTAAAAACTTCCAAAGATAGGGACTCCAGGCTGGCCTTTGGAAACCTATTCCAGAACTTAACTACTCCTAGAGATGGAAAGTTTTTCCCATTATCTAACCTAAACACCCTTGCTGCAGATTAAGCCCATTACTCCTTGTCCTACCTTCAGTGGACATGGAGAACAATTGGTCACTGTCCTCTTTATAACAGCCCTGACCATATTGGAAGACTGTTATTGGGTTCCCCCTCAGTCTTCACTTCTCAAGAATAAAAATGCCCCGTGTTTTTAACCTTTCCTCAGGAAAAGGGATGGGGATAAAGTAAATTAGCCCCAGGAAATAACTCACCTAATATCTACTCACTCCAGACCCGCAGCCCCCTGCTATCCCCTCACAGCCCTCAGCTCCCCCCACTCCCCACAGCTCTGCCAATTCCCCTCAATCTTGACCCCCTCCCCCCTCCCCATGTCGCTGCTATCCCAGCTCTGGGCTCCCTTCATCCCACAGCACTGCCGATTCCCCTCAGTCCCACCCAGCAGAAGTTTCCCTCCCCTGTTGTTACCCCAGATGTCTATCCTCAAGGTAGTGCAGTGATATTAGGCTTGGAAGGGTTCAAATATATCGATAAAAGTTGCTAAACATCGATTTCACTGAGCATGCACAAAGTGACAAAAAATATTTCCATCAGTAATAATTGAAATGTACAGATGGGCAAAGTAAGGAAAATGCTGCTTGGAAACATAGTAGAGTTTTGTTTAAAGCTATTTACTTTGTATCTTTTGAGATGTGATGTTAACAATTTGTGTTGTAACAGTTTATAAAACTTGAACTTAGTCTTTTTCGAGCTAAACTGACATTAAATAACTGTCTGACCCATCCCCACCTTTCCCTAAAGTTTAAATGAATAAATATTGAAGAAAGGGCTTAAAATGAACATGAATAATATCACTCAAAATTATAAAGAAATAAACACTGAGTTTTGCCAAGACTAAGTAATGTGTGCTCAGCCTTCTTCATGACTCACGCAACTTAGGTCAACTGTGACCAACGGTGGCAACTAGAAATAACAAAACCCTAGTGCCGAGTGACTATGAGAAGGAACCCAGGGACCTTAGGGCAATTTCAGACCCATCCCTCAAGAGGAACGAACATTTCCAGAGCTGTCAACAATGATCATAATTCAACCACATAATGTCAGAACCAGGATCTCGCCTGGAGCAGTTCTCACAAGCTAAGAAGGTTGCAGCATGGGCAGAATTTCAAATGGAAACCTCCAAAAGTCTGCAGATGCTACATGAAGGGACGCTGTTCCCTGACAGTCGGTGCTGTTCTCCATGCCCCAGCAGGGCACTAAAGGGCACTGTTCAGAAGGAATGGGGACACTCAGTAGGAGGTCCTCTCCCTTTGCAGTCAATGCTGACCCAAATGTCCCAGCCTGGTGCTAGGAGGCAGTAGGTGGTAGGGAGCAGGGCTCGGTAGGAGGTGCTCTCCCCTCGAAGTCAGTGCTAACCCCAATACCCTAGCATGGTGTTGGGGGCGTTATGCTGCAGTGAGTGGGGGGAGGCTCACTAGGGGGTGCTCTCCCCTTTACTCCTGGGGAATTCTGCACCAAAAATTAAAAATTCTGCACCAAAAAACTAATAATTCAGTGCAAAATATTTTAAAATTCTGCAAATTTTATTTGGCAAAATAACACAATATAATCACACCTGTTTCAATTATTTTGGTAATTTCTTTCAAAATACCTGAAGGCAGGTATGTATGTAGCAATACAGACAACAAAAGAGATTCAGGAAATGTTTTTTGACAAATCTATTCCTTACTAGGCATATTAATACACAACTCTGAGTAATAATTCATTTACACTACAATACAGAGATGTATTTCTCAGCCCCCTCAGAAGCAGTGCAAAGGCTTGGGGGAGTCAGGGGTCACGGAGGTCAGAGGGAGAGGGAAGTAATTGCTGGGAAGGAGACTGGGTGTGAACTTGGAGGGTTGTTGGGTGTGGGTGGGAGAAGTATAGAACAGGTTTTTTGGGGGGCAGGGAGGGATTGTTAGGGAGCCTCCCCCAGGCAGACCCTGGCTGACCCATAGCCTCTCTCATTCAGTCAGGCACATCTGCCACTGTCCCCATGTGGACCTACACACACACACACCCCCGTGTGTTCTTCTACCTCCACTCAGCCACCCCTTCCACATGTGGCCCTGTGCTTCCACTCAACCACCCCCTTCCTCCATGTGTCCCTGCACCCTCCTGCCCCTGTCCCCAGGTTGCCCTGCACTCCCCCTCAGCCCCTCTCTGCCCCATGTCCCCATGTGTTTCAGACCCCCAATCAGTCCCCCTACTAGCCCTTATGAACCCCACTCTGTGACACCCCCCCAGCAGCCTCATGTGCCCCTCACTGTCCACCCCTCCCCCCCATATCCTGTGCCTTCCGACCTGGCCCCACCAGCATGGTACTGTGTGGAAGGCAACCTCTTCTCCTCCCTATCCACAGCTGGGGCTGGCCCGGGACTGGCTGCTCTCTGTTTTGGTGGCACAGCGGCCCCTGGTGGGTGAAAGGCATAACTGCAGCAGAATGTATTTCCTTCAGACAGAGGCTGGAAATCCCGTGTATGCCTACCACTTCGCCCACCGTAGCAGCAGCTTGTCTGCACCTGAATGGATGGAGGTGCCACAGGGCTCTGAGATGCCCTATGAGTTCAGGACCCTGGCATCCGTGGTAGGATCCAACCACACAGAGGCTGAGGTAGCGCTGAGCCGCAGGGCAATGCATTACCTTGCAGTGTACACCTGGAGCGGGTAAGGAAATCCCCCACAATCCTCTTGTCTCCCCGATCCAGACCATGGGAGCAACTGTAACTCTTTGGCCAGGTGTCCACAACATCCAGGAACACCCGGCTCAATGCCATGGCAAAGAAGGGGTCTCTTTGAAAAACAGATAATCTATTTGGGTGAAGCCCCTGACCTAGAGCTGAATTTATTTCAGGGACATATAATCCGAGCCCCCTGGTTACAGGTTAGGGATAATTCCCTTCTTCCCACATGAGGATGTCACTGGTCCTATGAACACACCCACTCTCA